ACAACGGGAAATTAAATCTGATTCACAGAGGGGCCGCAAATAGCATGTTTGCACCACAAAAGCATACCCATTTTTGTAGGGGCCTAGCCCCACAACATGTAACCTTGGATGCCATGGGGAAGCCAGTTGGTCACGTGGACAGGCAGCACACACCTGGTCTAAACCAGGTGACAGGAATTAAGGTGCATGACAAGATGCAGAGAAGTGCCTGCTCTCATTCCTTGTCTGGTCCCTTCTTCAGCCTGATTAGATCTCTGCACCCAAGATACACAGAATGTTCCCACAGCTTCACAATAAATTCCTCTTTTTGCTGCTTATGCTAGCTTAAATGGGGTTCTCTGTTCTGTGATCAGTGTGGTAACACAGAGCAGATAAAATATTTAACGGTCTTTCATAAGCTCTAAACTTTGTTTTTTACACATTAGGTTAGATTCTGTCAAACAGCCTTCTAATGGTGTACTGAAGTATATGTTAAGGATTAAAATTGTGTTATACCCATTTAACAATATTAGCCATCATCAAATAGGTCAAATAAGTTTTCTTTCTCAGAATCTAATCCCTCAGTTTCTAGGAAACTGTGCTAGTTTCAGAACATCCATTATCAACATTTCTCGAACATTTAACTTATCCTAACATGATATATGATAAACAATTGCTTCCTAAATTATTTTCCCCAGTTGTTGCAAAATCAAGTAGGATTGTACGAAGAACTAGCTTTCCCAATACTAAGTAGAGAAACATGAAACAGCTTGAAGTGAACTGTCTTGTTTTATAGCTCATTAAAAAAGCTTTAGCCAATTGGCAAAAGAAAGGCAAGGAAAGAGTTCAAATAGCTCTGCACAGATTCAAACTTGACTACTAATTCCATATTAGCCACTCTCCAAATTGAATGAAGGTCTCACAGATGTCCTAACCCCAGAAAACACATGAGAGAGAGGGCACATCCCCATCAGCAACAGGGTTCACACTAACAGAGAGAAAATACATCTAACGTTGTAGGAATCCATGCTTGGTTTGAAATAGCCCTTGTGCGATTCAGATGTGTACCAGGGTAGGCGGGAACCACACACATCACACACACGTACACACACACACACACACACACAAAACCCACATACAAAACCATATCACCCTCACATACACATATACCACACAACATACACACACACACACACCACACAAACACACACACCATACACAAAATTGAGAATCACTGCTTCAAAAAATCCTCGTATGCTTTCATCTGTTAGAATGTGAATATAGACTTAACACTGCAAAAGAAACAATTTATTTAATATTACATATTCAACAAAAACAACACAAGATATGCTCTTATTTACAATAAATACTTACTTCTTTTGTGCTTTCTTTATGGACATAGATCCATTTTTCACGATAAAAACCTAGAATAAAAATTAACTTTATTTTTAAAATCTGGTGAATCATTTCAAAATGAATACTTTGATGGAATTTCTATAATTGGATACACTAACAAAATTATCTGATTTACTGTACTGATAACAGAGCATTTACTTGATTAAATGTAAACCGAATTGTTTTGTTTCCCAATATCAGTTTAAGAGATGCTGAAACACTTTTACATGAAAAATTAGTATTATTAATGACTA